GGGCCTATGAAGAGGGAGCTTGGAGGGAGGGTTTATTCCAACATCGTTGATGACTCTTGGGTTTACACTGGTCATCCTCCTCCTGATCTTCTCCGCCATCCTCCGCCAAGTGTTCCACGATGCAAGGGCTGGGAGAACACATGGCCGGATAGCTTGGCAGAGCTCTTGCCACAACGCTCGGCCACATTGGCGATTCCAGAAGGCTGGGGGCGGCGGTGATTCGCCGTAGGCGTCTTCGATCACCCGCCCCCTTGTGGTCTTGCCACAGGGGTGCCTGGCGTGCTGGACCCTAGACGTTATGGTGTTGGCACTTTTTCCAAATAAACTCTCCCCTGGGCTTCGGCCCGTCCCACGGGCCACCTGGAAGGCCGCACAAGGAGCTCCGTTTTTCGGAACAAATCTTCCAAGGCGGCTCACGATGGCTGACAAGATCGCCAAATTGGCCCAAGACGGCCTCCAAGATGCTTCAAAGACGGCCACGATGGTCTCCAAGACGGCTAAAATGGTCCCAAGATGCATCCAAGACGGCCTCATAGAGTCTCAAGATGGCCCAAGATGGTCTAAGAGGCTCCCAAGAGACCTCCACGACGGCCCAAGAGGTCTCCAAGAGGTTATCCAGGAAGGCCCGAAGAGGTCAAAAGCATTGAGTTGCCTTAGGTGATTGAAGGCGTTTGGCTGTCGTGCCTCCCAAAACGTTCTTGTCTGACGGCCCAAGACGGCCCAAGAGGCCCCCAAAGTTACCCCAAGATCGTCCAGGAGATCTCCACGCAGGCCCTATGACGGCCGAAGAGGCCCCCAAGACGGCCGCAAGAGTGCGCTAAGACGGACGGCCCAAGAGGCGTCCAAGACGTCCAAGATGGTCTCCAAGACGCCCAAGACGCCCTCCAAGAAGTCTCCAAGGCGGCCTAGATGACCTCCAAGACGGCTTCCGAGGGCGTCAGACGGGCCAAGAGGACACCAAGACAACCCAACATGGCTCCAAAATGGCCCAAGATGGCTCCAAGAGGCCCCCAAGAGGTCCCCAAGACGGCCCAAGAGGCCTCCAAAAGGTCCTCCAGGAAGGCCCGAAGAGGCCAAAATCATTGCTTGTCCTTAGGTGCTTGAAGGATTTGGGCAGTTGCTTCTCTTCGGTCCTCCGACAGCCCGAGGCGGCCGAAGAGCCCCCAAAGGTCGCCCCCAGATCGCCCAAGCGGCCTCCAAGAAAGCCCCAGAACGGCCCAAGGGGCCCCCAAGACGGCCCCAGGAGAGCCCCAAGACGGCCCACGAGGCTTCCAAGACGCCCAATATGGCGTCCAACACAACCCTGGAGCACCCCAAGAGGGCCCCAAGTCGGCCCAGAGAGGCCCCCCAAAACGGCGTCCGACTGCGTACGACGGGCCAGGAAGCCATCAGGACGGCCCAAGATGGCTCCAAGATGGCCCAGCACGGCCCCCAAGAGGCCCCCAAGAGGGCCTCCAGGAAGACCTGAAGGTGCCAAAGTCGACGACCCGAGACGGCCCAAGAGCCCCCAAAGGTCGCCCAAAGATCGCCCACGAGGCCTTTCCAAGATGGCCCCAGAACGGGCCAAGAGGCACCGAAGACGGCCCCAAGAGGGCCCCAAGACGGCCCAAGAGGCTTCGAAGACGCCCAACATGGCCTCCAAGACGGCCCTGGAGCACCCCAAGAGGGCCCCAAGTCGGCCCAGAGAGGCCCCCAAGACGGCGTCCGACGGCGTCAGACGGACCAGAAATGCCCTAAGATGACTAAAGAGGCCCCCGAGAAACCCAAAAGGCCCCCAAGAGGCCCAAAGAGGCCCCCAAGATGCTTCCAAAAGGCCATCAGAAAGCTCCAAGGAGGCCCCAATAGTGCCCCCAGAGGCTCCCAAGATCCCCCCTCCTCCTCCTCTGTGTGATCGTCCCCGCCACGCTCCCCCAAGTGTTCCCCGAAGAGTTTCTACAAGGGCAGGGGGAACACATGGCCCGATAGCTTGGCAGAGCTCTTGCCACAACGCTCGGCCACATGGGCGATCCCAAAAGGCAGGGGGTGGCGGTGATTCGTAGTAGGCGTCCTCGTTAAGTCATAAATGCGGGCCAGGCGTTTCGCCTGAGATTTCCCCACCATGTAAAATCCTAAATGTCAATAATTGGCAATTGTTTCACAGATGGGGGCGGGCAGTTTTCAACATGTGGTTCTCGCCTTCGCGCCGCACACATTCGTCTTATAAATCGCCAGAGCTTCACGGATTGAGGGAGGGTCGTTTTCAAAATGTGGGTTTCGCCTTAGCGTCGCGCACACTCGCCATAAATATCAGCCAGAGCTTCACGGATTGAGGGCGGACCGTTTGCAACATGTGGCTCTCGCCTTAGCGACGCGCACATTCGTGCAAATATATAAGGATGTCATGCATTGAAAGCGGTTCCTTTTCAACTTGTGGCTCACGCCTTGGAACCGCGCACACGGATTCCCAAGGTTAGCATACCAGGAATTGTGTTTCGGAGCGGCTCAGGATTGTCGGGGCGCAACAATTCGACAGATTCGCAAACGGTTGTCCCCCAACCAGGCACTTGCCCTAGTGAGGGGAGGGAGGGTTGTATGGGTCCTATGAAGAGGGAGCTTAGAGGGGGGGTTACTCCAACATCGTTGAAGAGTCTTGTGTTTACACTGGTCTTCCTCATTTTCCTCCTCCTCTTCGTTCTCCTCCTCCTCCTCCTCCTCCTCCTCCTCCTCCTACTCCTCCTCCTGCTCCTTCTGCCCCTCCCCCTCCCCCCTCCCACCCCCTCCTCCTCCTACTCGTCCTCCGGCTCCTCCTCCGCCTCCTCCTCCTCCCTCCTCCACCGCCAGCCCCATGTCCCGAGCCTGTGGCAGCGTCATCAGCTCGTCGTTGTCGTTGTCGTCGTGGTCGTCGTCGTGGTCGTCGTCGCCGTCCTTCTGGGTCGGCGGCACGGGCCGTAACGCCTTAACAAGATTCAATTACACCGACCCTCTGGGCGCGTTCAGTTTAGCAAAGATTACATGCCCCTCTTCCCACTTGGGGGGAGTGTTCACCCTTCCCCTACAGCCGGGTGACGTCGCCGTGAGATCGGCGCCAACTCTAACACCACGAAGGCCGCGCCGCACAACATTGGACAATCGCGCTGTTCTGACTTCGCGCCTACAAGAAGCTCCTCGAAAACCACGACACACCAGTTGGCCAGAGCTTCCAAAAGCTACTCCCACGAGGTCATCCCATGTCCAAAATCTATGGGTGTTCAGTGAGCTTGCCTTTATCGCTGCATCGCTTCCGATTGGCCTCTGAAGCCTCAGGGTGGCCCCAAGACCCGCCCAAGGGAGGCCCATACAAATTCCAACGCGCAACGCTCAACGCGCAACTACCTGTCCTCGCCCCAGGAGGCGGCACCGTCACGGCGGACAGGTGCGCGAGGCGCGCTGACCTTCGAGCGAAGGCCAAGCGAGACCCCCGAAAACATCAGGTGAAAACCGACAGAACTTGAGAAAGATCCCGCCACAAACAAATCGAATGGAAGCGGATTCGTGTCAAGATGGTCGGTCTACGAATTGGACGAACTGGCGTAGGCCGTTTTCAGATCGATAAAAGACCAAGTGTACTTCTCAATGGCCTCACTCGCGATGTCTGAATCTGGTCAGATGACCGCGCCCTGTCACTCCGTTTAGCTGAAATCCTGGACCATCGCGGCTGTTCCATGTTTACCAGCCATAGAGTCGTCACGAAAACAATGAGATGCGAAGTTGGGATCACCGTTTTGAAGCAAAGCCAACGTGACCTTGTGCGCATGAATGGCATGTCGTCCAAGCCGTTCTCAAACGATACACGATCTCCTCGTTCGCATTGTCGTTCATAATAACTGTAGTGCCAAACTGACAATCTGGGAATCAGAGATCCCCTGCTTTGAGATCGCATTCGATCCGCGGTCTTGTGGCACATTGCATGCACGCTGAATTTGACTGCGTCCGTTTTATAAGATTGGTTCTGAAACCCAATACTGAGCTTGGCATTCAAACTACAACTGATCTTGGTGAGACTGCTGAGGTCGTGCCGACAACTTACACAACTTACATCATGCAGTGTTCATCCAAAATGTTGCTGCTGATCACGGCCCCAAAGCTTTTCACTTCTCACTGCTCTCTCAGACAAGCCAGGGCGACCCAGACTGTTGCACCCAGTGTGCTAATCTGAAAATACTCGATACAAAATGGTGGAGGGTCCAGCTGGATGTTAGCTCGCTGATCTAAATAGAAAACTTGAACTCGTTGGTGTTGACTTCATCGGCGCGTGGACGGTCCCAACGGCTCCCCAAAGAGCGGCCAGATTGCGCCATACGAGTTCCCCCCCTGAGGCATTGTTTAGGGCTCCAGCGGGGACCGGCAGTCTGATCGAAGGCTCCAGTGGGCCTCAAGAGAGCCCCCACATCGCCAGAGAGCCTCCAAACGCCCCAAGACATGCGAGATGGCCGAGGTAATGGTCCACACGGCATGATAACGATGACTTGCGTGCGTGGCAGGACAACCGAGATGGAGTCGTCATTTTCATGCTGGCTATGCCAAACCAGCTCGCACTGTGGGGGGCAACCTGGGCACCAGTTCCCTTTGGAGGCGCCCAGTGCGCCAACCCCAACACATCTTCAACCGTCTCTGGAATTCCAAGCTCGCTCCTCCCAGACAAACGGGCAAACTCCAAACTTCCTGCTCCAGGACCCCGGGTCGATCTGCCCGCTTGGCGTGCTCCCTCGCCCCATAGCCTCCAAGGGCTGCCTGGGGTGGCCTAATAAATCGCCAGGCAGAGCTCGCTGTAATGCGTGCAGGGGCTGCCCGACCTCCAGCGCACCCCCCGTGCAGTCGGGCCGGGGGAGACGACGCGGCAGCGATCGCCGGCCGCACGACCTCCCACGGGCAAAGCCCTACGCCCCACCGATCGCTATCTCAGCGGCCGCCGATTGTGGCGGTGGGCTGCTGGCAGGTGGGGTATCCTCCAGCCCCAGGGGAGGACTTCTCGCAAACGAGGCCAAGCTGGCAGCAGCCGTACCAATACCCGTTCGGGCCGTACTCGCAGTAATCCCCGGAGGCGCTGGCCCCCGGCTGGGGGCAGTTCGTCGTCGGCGGTGTCGGCGCTGGAGTCGGCGCGTGCTGGCACGTGGGGTACCCTCCAAGCCCAGTGGATGGCTGCGTGCAGACAAGCCCGCTGTGGCAGCATCCATACCAATACCCGTTCGGAGCGTACTCGCACCTATCGCCGTAGACTAGAGGCCCTGGCTGGGGGCAGTTCGTCGTCGGCGGTGTCGGCGCTGGAGTCGGCGCGTGCTGACACGTGGGGTACCCTCCAAGCCCAGTGGATGGCTGCGTGCAGACAAGCCCGCCGTGGCAGCATCCATACCAGTAACCGTTCGGAGCGTACTCGCACTTATCGCCGTAGACTAGAGGCCCTGGCTGGGGGCAGTTCGTCGTCGGCGGTGTCGGCGTCGGACTCGGCGATGGCGGCGATGGCGTCGGAGAAGGGAAATTGGCGCAGTAGTCCGTCCCGAAGCAGTTGCAGAAGCGACACTGCTTCGGTCCATGTGTGCCCGCAGCCATGCAGCACGTCCCGCCGCCGGACGGGCTACAACCTGCGGTGTCAAGGAAACACTTGCCACTCGCGCCACAAGTGGCAGTTGCCCGGTCCGGGTAGCACGTGAGGGTCGTCGTCTCGGTGGTGTTGACCTGGCCACTCGCATGCGCCTTCTTCAACTGCGCAGCCGCCGCGTGCTGCAGCAGCGCTGCAGTCTCCTATGTTGAAAACGCTGCCAGCACTTGTTCGAACTCTATTAAAAGCTGTTTCCGCCAACGTCCCCTGGGACACTGAGTTGAGTGTCCTCAGGTTCCTTTGAGTTCCCTGTGTTGAGCGTTGTGTCTAGTTGTTCAGGGGCCTAGCGCCCCAATTGCTGGATCTCCTGGGGATCGCAGCGTGGCTGAAAAACCTCGTGGCTTGTCAGGGTTGTCTGCCCAGGAGGGGGGACCCCAAATTGGCCGTGGGAGCCCTCGTGCCAGGATGGGCCCCCGAGATCATCAAGAGGCCCTCAAGAGAACGCCCAAGAGACCCCCCAAGAAAACTCCAAGAGGCGCCCAAGAGGCGAACTGGATGTCCCAAGAGGTCTCGAGGAAGCCTCGAAGGCGAGGCGAGGCGAGGCGAGGCGAGGCGAGGCGAGGCGAGGCGAGGCGAGGCGAGGCGCCGGTCAGCCGTCCCAGGGGACGGCCCTGCGAGAGCCAAGCGGTGGCGCCAGAGCTCCGAGAAATGTCTGCACGAGGAGGAAGGGAAAGAGAAGGGGAGGGACTCAGAACGTCAAGTTGGCGGAGTTTGAGTACCAGCTCTGGCATAAATTGTTGTTACGACCAATTTCCCGCACCGTCCCTAGATTGACGGATGCCAGGGATTTCGCCTCCAGTGCCGGCCATGCTTTGTTGTTCGTCGCAATGTGTCCAGACAAAGGAACATCCAACAAAAGCCCCGACAGGACTCTGGCCCGGAACCCAGGCGCGGTGGCGGCGTGGGTCGAACATAATGTCCGTATCGTATCGTATTAGCCGACGCGGCATATCGTCCTGCTCGGATTGTGTGTTTGCGGTTGGTGTTGATGATTGTTGCCGCCGTCTCCGCCGCAGGCCAGTCCTTCCTCCCTCCTCCTGATCCCGACCCAGCGGTGGCAGAATGCAAACCACCCCAGAAGCCATCCCGGGGAGACCACAAGGTACCAACACCGCTGCTCCCCAGACCTCTCCCGGGGTGCGCCCTGACCAGGACTTCGAGGCGAATCCAGCGGTGGCGACGAGGGCCGCCCAGGAGGCCCCAAAAAGAGAGAGAGAGAGAGAGATAGAAAAAACGAGGGGAGGGTAGAGGTATGGGTACCTCTTCCTCCTCTGCCAGAAGCCATTCCGCCAACACCCGCCTGACACTGTGTGAAAAAACACACACACAAAAAAAAAAAAGTCTGGGGGAAAAAAAAACACACACTGTGGGAAAAAACACACACGCTCGTGGGAAAAAACACACCCTGTGGGAAAAAAACACACACAATCACACACACACACACAAAAAAAAACAGATTTTTCCCACAGCGTGTGCTTGTGATTTTTTTCCCCACAGACACACCGAGCGCGCCGGCGCGCACCGTCGGCCCCCGGAGGCCGCCCCGCGCAGGGAGGCGCGCGGGGGCCTCGGCCCCGCGCGCGGCGTGCGCGCCGACCCCGCGCTTCCCGGGGCCCGACGGGGCGCCTGCACCAGGTGCACCCAGGGTCAGGTCGAGCGCCTACAGGGGGAACTACAGGGGGAAGCCCTGGCAGCCGATCCTTCCAGGTCGAACGACCCCCTCGGTGTCAGGAGCAGGGACCAACGCTCAAGTCGGCACGACACGAAGCGGCCTTGCGGTGTCCAGAGGCGAGGCTGGGCCTCGTTGGGCATCAGCGAGGGGTTCCCTCGGGTGCTTCCCCCTACAGGGGGAACTGTCAACGAAAGAGAAAAGTTATCCCGGCAAAGCAACCTCACAGCGACTTGTGTGAGCATATCTGGAAGCATTCCCCTGAAGATGCAGGTGAGAATCCAGTTGTAGAATTCTGCGGTTCTCGCAGTCGCAGTCGCAGTCGCAATGACAGTCGCAGTCGCAGTCGCATTCGCAATGACAGACGAAAAATAGAAAATACCCCACAAATGCCCCAAGAAGGTCAAAAAATACTCGAAAGATAGTCCCCAGACTATTTTGGGACTATTTTGGGATTATTCTTTCGTCGAAAATCCCTCTGTAGGGGGACAGGCCCGACGTAAACCTAGGGGGCCACATGCGAACCCTACCCCTCCCCATCACGATTTCTGAGGGGGAGGGTGGGGTTCACTTCGCTCGGGAGCTCCCGAGCGAAGTGAACCACACCCTCCCCTGAGAAATCGTGGGGGTAGGGGCATGGTTCGCATGTGGCCCCTTAGCACCGGCACAGGGCTGGACCTGAACGGTGTTTTTCGTTCTCGCTTCGTTTCCGTTGTCCCTCGCTTTGTCTCGAGCTCGCCCCTGCTGCAGAACGATACCGAAAAACGAAAACGGCCCACGAAGCCGCCACAACGCCGCTCAGGCCCACCCCTGCACCGGCACATAGACACCCTCGGCATCAACGCTGCACGCGACGACACTCTGGCGAATCAACATCGCATTGCCCGCGCACGGCACAGGACGCGGGCACCGCACGGCACACGGCACGACGGCACGGCACGGCACGGCACGGCACGGCACTCCCAACACACGGGTCTAGTGTTCTGAGACCGCGGGCACGGCACGGCACGCGGGCACGCCACCACGGCACGGCACGGCAACGGCACGCCACGCGGGCGGCACACCTCTCGCATGACGGGGCACGGCAACTAGGGCGAGGGGACGGCACGGCACGCGAAAACGGCACGGCACGCGGGCACGGCACGGGCACGGCACGCAGAGGGGGCACGGTCTTCGCATCGTGAAACGCAGGCACAACACGGCACGCGGGCACGACACTGCACTGCAAGGCAAGGCACGCGGGAGGCGCGAGGCTTGCCGTCTGTGCCTTCTGGATACCAGGAGCGCTCTCTTGCAATGCGCATAAGACCCTTATCGCTGGCAGAGATGTCCCAGAGGCGTACCCGGACCACCTGCAACACGTGACAACATATACGGGCCCGTCCAAACAGAGTGGTGTTACTAAAGCGGCGCGATGGCTCGCAGCAAGGGAATTTCCAAGGACGCCCCGGCGTTGCACGACCCAAGGGGCCCACTCGAAGCAATGCAGAAGGGGAAAAAAGAGGGGGAGGATAGAGGATAGGAGAGGAGAGGAGGGGACATAGAAGACGGGTGTGAACGAGGACAACAAAACCACCGATTTCTGGGCCCCGTCCTGGAGCCGCTCTGGCCGGGCACTGCACGTCTTTCGGCGCGCCGCCGGGCACGGCACAGTGGGCACGACGGCGCGCGGGGCAGCACCCACGGTGCGGGAGCTATCGCGCGGGCCTGCGCAAGCCACATCCCCGCTGGGCGGGGACACTGAACAGGGGCGACAGCTGGACCTACGGCAGCAGCCAGGGCAAAGGATGCCCACCTCGCGTGGATCCCCGTGGGGCACCTCTCCGCTGGACCGCGCAGGAGCACACCAGAGCGGCGGCCGCTGCTGCAGCGCCCTGGGAGCTCGACAGGAGAGGCCACACAGGCAGAGCGAGGGGAGCGGGGGACGCGGGGAGAGGCACCAGAGGAGGGCGGATGCGCAGGAGGAGGACGGAGGAACACCAAGTCGAAAGTGAGCCTGGTAGCTCAAATAAATGGCAAATAGCGCCCATCGCTCTGCTGTGAAGGTACAGTATGAGGGGTGGACGGATAAGATAGGATAAGATCGATGTAGTGATCTTTCCAGCACATAGCGAACACTCGCGGTGTCCGGGCAAATAGGGCGCGCGTGCCTTGGGCCAAAGGCAACGGCGCGCGCGAGCTATGCTCCCGATACTATAACATCTCCCAAAGACCTACCCTTAAAGTCGGGAAGGGAGGAGACGGAGAGCATAGTCGCACGCAAAGGTCGCGCGCACGACTGTTTGCAAAAAGGAAAAAAGTGCGTACAGTCTGGCCTAACACCCGACTGCAAGGCGAGTTTCCTCGCAAAGTATTTCACGCAAATACAAGACAGCCCCTTCAAACAATGAAGGGCTATCGGCTCAGTTAGAGGTAAGCCAAACAGGCCATACCTCACCAAGCAAATGTGTATTAAGGCAAAGAGCCTGAGTTGTACGAAGCCGGCTCGTTGCCAGGCGTGAAATATAAGGCTCGTTTCCGAGCAACTAGAGGGGCGCCTTTATAGTAGGCGCCCGTGCTGGCAAATTGGACCGCGAGGGCAACAAGGACATACTAAAATTGATTAGACTTAGGTTTGTCTCTGTCCTCGGGACCCCGAAAGGGAACAAATTGCTTCACGTCATACTTAAATGACTGAGTGCCTGACATCACTTCCAGAAGCAGCTCCCGATCGATGCTTCCCTTTGTATGCCCATCTGCGGTCATATCCCTAGTATCACACCATTGCACATTATGTACTATACCTATATCCATGAGCTCACGTATCCAGCTGATATGTCCAAGCAGAGTCCGTTCTGTAGGTATTTGAGATCCCTGCTCGATAAAGATTTGTAGACGGACTCGGCGTCTATGGTAAGAGAGACTTTGACAGCTAGGCCTCCAACTTCACGCATGTCTCGTAGTTGTCGTGGAGTCAAAGCTCCTGCCTTAAGCTCGTGGAGAGTAACGAGCGCAGGGTAACACTCATCAACGTTATGTGCGGCTGCAAGTGCCTCCGCAGCATAACTGGACCTCACCTGTAATCGGTGTGATTTGCATAGTCCGTCACAGAGGTGAACGACGGACTTGCCTTGAGGCGAGTTTCCTCGCCGCAGTGCATTGGCCCCGCGTATGCCGTAGCCCTTGGTCTCGTCATCCTCCTCCCCGGTAAGCTTCCGATACCCCGAATCGCTATGGATGTCAACTTCATTCGTCGGCTTCATCCGAGGGAAGGTGATACGTTTCGGGCTGCTGATCAGCTTTCGCGTCACAGCATTCAAACGTCTGACTTGCAGATTGGTGGGCTCTTGAATTTTCTGAAGAGAGACCACGTATACCATGAGCCAGATTTGGGTAAGAAGGGCATAGGCGAGGGCTCCTCGCAGGCTGACGAACATGTCGGTAATGAGCTTCGTGGCTTTGGCATCGGCCGCCGCTCCTGTAAGTTCTGGGTGCGTGATAGGACGTAGTTGTTTGATATACTCGTCCTGGTCCATGATCACATCTCCTTGATCATTCTTAGTGTAGCGAACGGCACAGTTCCTACATGTGTGCTTGTTGAGCTTGCATTTACCAAACACCTTTTCGACGCGTTGTACATAGTCGTCTATATTTTTCTCTAGACCTGTCATGTTAATATCGTCGACATGTTTTGCCGTCAGAAGGTCTTGACTGAATTCAAATTCAGGATCGTAGCTGGTCGGTGCAAGTCCTATAGCTCGTGTAGTCGTACGAAGTTTGAGAGAGAACGCTCTTGGAGCGTCCTTTGTACCCGTTCCTGGTTTGAGGCATCTAAGACAGCGTCGACTTTCGTCGTAGGATGAGAAGCCGGGTAATGTAAGAAGTACCTGAGCACTTCCTGGTGGAAGAGTAAAGCAAACCATGCGAGTTTCCTCGCCGGTGGCATGGGCAAGTTCCTCATAGGTCAAACCCTTGAGGAACGCCTTATCGATATCCATGGATGCTAAGATCCACTCTGGATGGCATGCCGCTTCACTCGCCAGGAGTCGCTGGGACTGCCTTCGGGCGGTTCCCGAGAATGTTTCCACATCAAAAGCCTCAGAATCCATAAATCCACGAAGGACGAGTCTGAGACGAATGGTTTTAACGTTCTCGGTACCCATCTTTACGAACTTCCACTTGTAAACATACCTGGATGTCATGATGTTGGAAGCTTTGGATAGATCATACATCTCAAAGCATCGGTTATCAATCCAGATTTTGAGCTTAGTATACAAAGTTTCACCAACCTCCTTTGGATGTGCTGCTATGTCGGCTTTGGTCAGTAGATCATCTTCTTTGACAACCACAGCACGTTTAGCAGCAGAGGATACATATACTCTCATCTTTGCGACCATATCGGTATCGAGCTGTGCAAGTTGAGTCTGATCCAACACTATTTTTGACATTTCTGGTGTAATGCATAATTCAACGTAAGGACCGTATTCATCACTGTCAAGAGAGTAGCTCTCGTCGGTTGTGGTTGAACAAAGAGAGACTAGACAGGACTCACGTGATTTCGGCTCGTCTCCGAGCATATCTGATGATATAATATCATCTTCGTCCACAAATGCTGAAACCAAAACACATTGGTCGGGCAGCATAGTTGTTGGGACGCAATAAAGATAATCATCGGTAATCGTCGTAGGATGAAGGTCCATACGTAGCTCGTCGTACCACTCTTCCAGCATCATAGCTTCGATATTGCGTTCCTCATTTACCTCATAGATTGTCGACAGACGGCCTTCACTCGGCGATGAAGCATCTGGTGTGTCTTGAGAAGGCCTGTTTCCAGGCGACTCGTGGTCTCCAGACGTGTTGCTTGAATGCTGATATTTAACCAAATCGTCGTGAAATCCTAAGGAAGGGACACGTGAAGTCAAGCATTGAATAAGTCTGGAGTGAGTGCTACCAGTGATCTGAGAAATGTTTAAGCCGGTGCCCACACATTCGTAATAGTGGAACGCCGGGCTGATGTCGTTGTCATAGTGGATCAGCGTAGACCCGGTGGCGTACTTTACTGCAGGTAGGCTTGACACACTCTTAGCCAATCGAACTGCTACTACATGTTCTACTCGGAAGTAATTCCGTACGAGATACTGTAGTGCTAAGTGTACGCGCGGGTGAAACTTGCTGTCGTCTGACAGATTAAGGTTTCCCTTGTAATCGGGGATATACCCGAAAACTTTGGCAGGTTTCCCTGCGCTGAGGTGTGCCACATAAGCAAGGACGGTTTGCATGGCCATATTATCCATGCCAAGTTCCCGTGTGAGGAGACATTCGATGTATAGTGTGTGACGAGCATCAGGATACATCACAATTACCTCACGAGATCCTGCCTTGACAACAATATGTCCTCTTTCAGGCACATTTCGGATCACCGGGAATGGGCCATTCCAGCCTCCATGGTCGTCCTTGGTGGCAGTAGGTCGGTGGTAATCGACCAAATCCCCTGATGAGTAGAGGCGAGCACCATCAGGAGTCGTCTTAGCCCTAAGAGCCCGATTTGTCTTGGCCACAGCAGTAGCCTGAGTTATAGCTTCTAGGCTGACTTCCCTTACACGACGTTCTCGTTCGTGTCCTGAAGTCTCGGGTCCCTTGGGAAAGTCAAGGGTATCGAGATCAGGGAGGAAAGAAGGCTGACGTCCTGTGTGTGCCTGATATGGCGATACTCCGTTATAAAACGTAAACGCATTAGTAACGAAGATGCCTTCCGCCAATACTCTAGTGAATACAACAGGGATGTTGTGTCTATTCAATTCTTCCTCAATCATGTGGAGGACGCCTCTGAGAATGCCGTTTCGTGACTCAATTGAAGTCGCGTGTTGGCCAGGTGCTCGGATACGAAGTTCCGCGCCCTTATTAGCCATCATGGTTTTAGCGGCATCGTTATTCAGGGCGCCTTCTCCGTCTGAGTATAAAACTTTGAAGGGTCCGTGATAGGCAATCCAGCAGTAATGGTAGGCGTCAATGATAGCGTCACGTTCTCTGTCGGAAATTTCTAGGCCTGCTGCCAGGCGAATACAACGATCCATAATATGGAATATGGTCCGTTTCTTGTAGAACATGAGGTCCATTTCCCCTTCATCGAGCCAGTTACCAGGAAGGCTCACCGATGGTAGTGTTGAGTTTCCTGGACGTTCCCATGCTCTGCATTCCCGACAGGTATCGCAAACTTCCTTGATCATGTTCAGTCGAACGTTATCAAGCCCCACCTTTTCGAGGATTAGCCTCATCTTTGGCTCCTTCGCATGATACCATCGCAGATGCAGTTTTCGGAGTTCCTTTTTCACAACATGGGGTTCGTGACTACGGAGACTCTGTAGACTGTGTTGGATGTCGAATCTCGTCCAGTCGGGTAGTCGTGGAGCCCCAGAGCCGGTGGAGGCAAGAGGGTTCCTTGTAGCTCTCCGTAGTTGGTCCCCTGTGTTGACTGCGTCTGGAGGTGGTGGCACGCCTTGTAGACGGCCGCGGCGGGCCGCTACCTGTGGCGCTTCGCTAGAAGACGCAGAAGGCGTGTTTCCACGCTCGGGGGCGTCTCGTAGCATGTCGTAGCTGCTGGCACCAGATGTCGGATCGACGTTACCGAAGGATCGTGGTCGTGGTGGCCTGGCGTGTGCGCCTTGGCGGCCACCTGAAGCTGAAGCTTGGCCCTCACCAGGTTTAGGTAAGGGTTTCCACCAAGCTGG